GCTTCCTACTTAACAGAAGTAAGCGTGAACATCACAAACTGCATGCATTTTTCTTTCAAAGCCTTAAGAGGATGATATTGTGTGTACCATTTTGACAAGAGATCCATTTTTGAGGATGCTGCTTTAGATAAGCACCAAGTATACTGTAGTTAAATTAAGACAATGTAAGAATATGTAATTCTCTACTATAGTACAAAGACTCACAAAGTACATAATTCTCAGATGCATGTAGCTCCTATGAAAAAGTGTAACTACACCAACTTCAAAACAGTGTAATTTTTTATCAGTTATTTGCCCTGTATTTCTAAAGCACTAATAAAGTCTTGCAAATATGGAAAGAAATTATAGCTGTCTTATTAGCAAGATAGTGAATGTATCAATTTTCTAAAGCAATCTACAGCTATTATGAGGTAATGTACTCTCTGGGGCATAGCTTTACACTTGTATCAAGTATTAAGGCCAAATGCCAATTCATTTTAGGCTTAAGCCTACTCTAGTTGAAAGCAGCCTTTGTAATGAAAATTATCATTGGCCGTAAACATGCCTGACCCTTCTCATATGAATGTTGGCTAACACAGTTGTTAGAATCGAACCTTAAAAAAATGTAAAGTTATCAACAGTTTTTATAATCATACAAGATGCAGATTATTTTTATTTGTTAATTAAAACTTCAGCTATACAGCATATTTCTGACACAAATGTGGGCTGCCTTATAATCGGCTGGTGTCTCAGGAAAGTCAGCTTGTTTTACCATTGCTGGTAGACTCGTCTTTCTGCTGGACACAAGACAGATAGATGTGTATTCATACTGTGTTGTAAGTAAATACAGAATTTTGGGTGTACAGAATTTAGCATGTTATTCCAAATGACCTTTCAGACGGAACATAAATTTTGCACAATACATAGCCTTCTCTGGTATACAAATCCATCTTTCTCACCATACATTTTAATAGAAATGGATCCTCCTCACCAAGACCAGCTTGTGTAAGCAAGTTCAGAGCATCAGATAGAGAATGGTAACCTAATGAAAGGTCCCTTAACTTCCTTCTGTCCTGCCTCCCCTTTTGCATCAAACCTTAACAAACTTACTGAACTTCTCCTACACAAATCTGGAAGTCAAAGCAGCTATGACATGGAAACCCATTAAAAAAAGGAAACCCAGTTTAAAAAAATGACCAGCACAACACCTTTTGACAACCGAAGCTTGAACAGAAGGAACAGTATTTTTGGCACAATGCTATCCTAGGCTGCTTTTGTCCTCTCTCTCTGGAGTAACACGTTCTGGCCAAGAAACACATTACCTTACGCGTCTCCTACACCAGCTCTCAGCTGCTACACAAGGGGTTTTATCACTTGCAAATAACTTGCATACCTATCTGAGCTGCCTTCCAGTTGACATGACTGGAGAGTTGCAACCATCTTAACACAGCATATTTATCTCTCTCTGAAGCTTTTAGATAGATTATCTAGCAACAGAGGCAACATACATATCTGTCCTCTCAAAGATGACTTTTCATAGATAACCATTATGTCTGCATGTTTAGAGGGATAAGAAATGACAAAGAAACAACCAAATCTTAAATACTGCAGAAAATGGCCTTGCAGAAAATGCATCTGCATTGAAGATAGTTCTCTACTTTATAGCTGAGTAAATTTTTTGTGAGGCAAACATTAGTTAATGTAGTAAGGCTGTAACAAAAATAACCCATTAATTTGTAAAAGAGTAGTTAAGTGGGAACTCCTAACATAGATAAAGATCCCATTGTGTTAGGCTGCATATCATGGTATTTATAGCTTTACCACAAATGCAAGTGTGGTGAGTCCTGAGCTCTCTCTTTTTTTTTTTTTCCCCCCTTCCTTTCTTAAATCCGCAATGTTTTGCAGCTTATATTAAGAATTTCTTAAAATTACCTGACTGGTACCTATCTATTAGAACATCCTCAAAAAGCTGCAGAATGTATAAGCAATATGTCAAACATTACTCTAGCAAGCCAAGAATAGGTAAGTGAAGTCAAAGAACCAAATCCTGCTGTACATGACACCACTGTAAGCCAACAGATGTGCCTTGAAAGCCATATGTGACAGAAGTTACTAGGCCAGAAAATTTCAAACATAATTCTCTTGATTTAATGTGTTACTACCCATTTAGTGTGGTTTCAGTTCAGGCTTGACAATCAACTACTCAGTACTTACTAACACAACAGAAGGACAGCAAGCAGCATGCTATTTGGCAGAGAGTACAAAGGAGTCCTTCTGCCTGTCTACTTTCTAGTCAGCTTATTCTTCCAATACCCTAAGAAATGTATTGCAATCTCCAAGTAAAAAAAAAAAAAAAAAAGGTTGTTCTGTAGATATTGTGGAATACAGTTAAGCATACACTGAAACAAGGGACGTACCAAAAAAAACACTATTTTTTTTTTATTTTTGTAGAAAATCTCCAAGTGAACTAAATTGGCAAAAAGTATTGCAGGTTAAAACAGCCAACGAACCCCCCCAAACAAGACAGCTAAAAGAAAAAAAAGATAGTAATTTTGAACAACATAGGCCTTTTTGCCCATTATACAGGGTTGGTGTAAGGGACAGTTGCATCCAGTATTCTTAAGGTTATTAGATAGCAAAATAACAAATTCATACATTGGGCATACACATACCACATATTATGAATCTGTACGCACATAAATACATGGTAAAAGCACTTAACATTTTTTAGACTTCTAAATCTTTTTAAAAAATCTTTTGGCCAATGATGTTGAGCTGCTAAGCCTTTTTAACTAATATGTGCAGCTGAAATTACTTCAGGTACTTCAAAACAAGCATTACAAGCTCCATCTACTCACTATTTCTGGATGGAAAAACAGCTCTATTAAAATGAAAGGCCAACTCCTATTGACTTAAGTGGCTTAATACGCTCTAAAATCCAAAGCTCCAATTTTGCCCTCCTTTATACTAAAGAAAATCCTAAATAATGGCTCTGAGGTCAGTATACATTCATAGGATAAAGATGAAAAGAGCACAAGGGTAATTTTATTTTATAGCTTAACTTGATACTTGTGTGACTGATTAACTCCAGTGTCACAAAGAACATAAGCGCCTCTGATCTGTATGTAAAATAATGGAAAATCTGGGATATCGAATTGACCTGTGATAAAATTGCATCATGAAAGATTGATTGGGAAGGGTATTTGTGTTTTAGAATATGTTATGAATGAAAGAGGCTTCTGGAAAGACTCTTCAGAAGAGACAGAAAGAGACATTCAAATAATATGCCAAAAGAATCTGAGGCTTTAATCAAGGCATAAATTAAGTCCTTTTACAAGAAATTAAAACTAATTACTGTCAATTATAGAAAAAGACAACTGTTAAAAAAAAAACCAAAACAAAACAGAAAGATCTGGTGAAGTATGCAATGGTCATTGGCACATGTATGGTACTGTTTGCTTCTTTGTGGCATGGCTTCCAGGCACCCTGCTACAACTCCTGTTTTGGGAGAGTTAATGGTCTCTTCATCTGTTATTCGTAAGCATGGACAGTGCTCTGACACCACAGAATTACTGGCATTAAACCTCCTCTGCTCACATGGTCCTATGCTGACTTGGAAAAATGGCCTTCAATCATTTAATAGTTTGTTTTTTTTTAAATATTAGCAAAACCACCAATTAGATACATTTGGAATTCAGAATAAATCTGATATCCCTCTGTACAACTAAAATGAGTATTCTACTGCAAGCCGATCTTGGGTTTATATCATCTACAGTTCAGTAAAAAAAAAAATCCTTTTCCCCTTTTCTCAAAAAGTTGAAGGAAAATAGATGCTTTTTTTCCTTGGGGTGGGGTGGGGGTGAAAAGAGAGGAAAAAAATAATCCTTTCAAATTTCACAGACGCTTCCATACTCAAGTCCTCATTGCAGGACTGTAGTCTGGTTAGCCTCTAGTCTTTGGCTAGGACCAAATGCAATAGCTTTCTTGAACAATTACTAGCATTAACTCAGACAACTAACACAATTTTGTAAGGACTTTTCATTTCTTCCTCATATTCCTATTTCAGAAAACAAATTCTTTAATTGTTTAACCAATTCTATTGCACAACTTCTCACTGCACATTTGATAATAAAATTAAGTGTAAATTACAAAAAAGTTAATTTCCCTTTACACTTTCATCTTTTTGGGCACTTGTTTCTGCTAAAAACACATGAAAATTGTCATATGCATTTTTACAAACAACAGCCAAAAACATGTGTTTGTTAAACTTCAATAAGTCACAAAACCTTGGTTTTCAATAAAGAAGAAAAAACATTTTTTAAAAAAATCCCACATTAGATTCTGACATGTTGCCAGGGCTTAACAGCATTTGAATTCTTTCAACATACACAGAGGCCACGGTTCCTGCAACCACAAGGCACAGGCCTTCTGACTCTCACAAAGCTGATTCCTACACAGGCTTTTTGATGGCAACAGGTGCAACTGACAAAAAAAAAAAATCTGCCAATAAGAATAATTCAGGCCTGAAAGTCTGCTTTAAAAAACAGTTTGCTCCCAAGCCTCGAGAAAAACAAAACAAAACAAAACAACAAAACAATAAAAAAAGAAAAAAAAACAGCCCCAAAACCACAACACCAAGCCATCAAATAAGAAACACCTTGGGGAAAACGGACAGGGAGATTTGTACTCGCAAGCAGAAAAGCACCTGTTGTGCAGCTTCCTTTTCTGCGGGGCAGCAGGTGGGGCCCAGAAGATCCCGTTTAACAGGGCCACGAAGATTCACCCGCTAATAAGTAAGCTCTTGGAGGGGCACAGGGCCTGCCTAGCTCAGCACAAGCAGCCTTAGCAGGAGGCTCCAAACCCCGACTTCACCGAGGCGAGCCCGCCTACAGGCCAAACCCTGACGAGGTGGCCGAGCCGGGCCTTGCGGTGAGCCCCACATAGCACAACATCCCTCAGAGGGAGGCGTCTCCACCACGAGTTCCAGCCAGCCCCACTGCCAGCTCCGCCGCGGCACTTACCGAGCCCCAGCACCGGGATACTCCGGCCGTTGGCAAGCGGCAGCACGGGACACCCATCCACCCCACCCCCCTCCGAGGTCTCCATGCGTTTAACGGTTGCGGCCCGCGCGCTCCCCGCTGGGGACTACAACTCCCGGCAGCCCCCGCGGCCGCCGAGCGCCGCAAAGCGCGGGAGCGGGGTGGGGTGTGTGTGGGGTTGCCGGTGGCGGCGCGGCTGGTGGGGCCGTTTGTTTCCCGTGGCAGGCGGTGGTTCCCCCAAGCATGTTGTATCTGGTCGGGCTGGGCCTGGGAGACGCCAAGGACATCACGGTGAAGGGGCTGGAGGCGGTGCGGCGGTGCGGCAGGGTGTACCTGGAGGCCTACACGTCCGTCCTCACCGTGGGCAAGGAAGCGCTGGTAGGTGTGGGCGTTGCCGACGGGCGGGGCCGTGGGGCTGGGGGGTCAGCAGTGGCAGCGGGAGAAACGCCCGGTGCTGCTTCTTGGAAAAAGTACGTACGTGACCTTCACCTGCTGTATTGTATAGGAGAGATCGTTTTGCGATCATGTGAGAAGATGGGAACGAAAATAAAATTTTCTTTTCCCCAAGTATTGGCACTAGTTTTCATCTTAAATTCTAACAATGTATGGAGATCCTGAAATACTGGAGAATTTGGTTAGAAAAATGTCTGTGTTGTTTAAAAAAAAAAAAATAAAAAGACATACTGGAAAAATACATGTTTTGGAGCCTTGGACCTCTGAATTGGCCTGGGTTATTATGGTGTGCCAGCTGGGAATAATAATTTGACTGTCTCACGTTTCTATGTTTCCTTGTGGGCCAAGGTGTCTCACCATGCTGAGACTTCAAGAATATACACCGTTTAGATGGAGCTGGGCTGTTGAACAACACGGAGATAAGCTTTTTGTTAATAAACACGCCTTACGGCAGGAGACAGTAGTAAAAATGCACAGAATGTAATTGATGGGTTCACTGTCCGCAAAAAGATAAAGTTTAGTGTTGAAATAATACCCAAAAAAGAGTTTACCTACCCACAGAACAGGGATCTTACCTCTGACTACGCTGTGTAGTACTATACAGAGATGCTGTGTGGGTCTTGGATGCTGTATAGCCAAAACTTACTTGTCTGCCTACCCCTATGTACGTACAGCATGTGAGACTTTTGGCTTGTAGTCAGTATTCTGTGGTTTCCAGATACAAGCTAGGCCATCTCCAGTATATCTGCAGTATTTTGAAATTAAGATGTATTTCATGTTTTTTTGTTTTTTTTTTGTTTTTTTTTTCAGTACACTGAAGCAATCTGAATTGAAATTAATCAATTCAAACCAAAATGTTATTTTTTTGTTGTTGGATAGTTGAAAAATTGCAATTACTTGGATATTTTTAATTTGAAAAATCTACTTTTGCTATCCAAAAAGTTGATGGGTTCCTAGCCAGCCGAAAATATAACATTGAATAGTACAAAAATGCTGAATATTTTTGGTGTGGTTATTTTTTTGGGGGCGGTTTGTTTTGTTTCCTGTTAAGTATCCCAAAGATGAAGCAATTGGAAAAAAATTGTCAATAAAAACAAAGTAAAGATGCTGTTTTACCTGAAACTGCCTAAGATGCAATATAGGAATTAATCACCAAGTGTTAATACAGCCAAGTTTACATACAAGTGACAATGCTGGTTTATTTAGTAATCTGCAGGTCAGTGTCTCCTAAGCAACATGAAAAGTTATGGGAAAGCTCTCGAGGTAAAGAACAGATTCTTTACTTCAGGGACTTTCTAGGAAATCCTCCTGTTCTGATGCTTTTAAAATCGTATCTCAAAAATCAAATGACATGACTTGCTTAGTTTATCTTGTTGGCCTAAAATGTATATTAAAAGCTAGTTGATGTTGACCATCTAACTCAGACCTCAATTTGATCGAGGACCCAGTGTTTGGATCCAGTGACCTCCCAGTGAGTCTACTTTTTTGTTTCTGTCAGAAGAGTGCCTTTTATATGTTCTCTAACTAATGTGCTTTGGTCTGCATTGTGGAGCAGTCTCAAAGCATGCAAATGGATTCCATTAGATGAACTGCAAGGTGTGCTTCTGGGAATGCACCTAACATGCTTTATAGTGTGCATTCACTTACAGTACTGGACTAAAGTTAGTTTTGTCCAATAGTAAACCCACCAGAATGTATGTAGCATTGTTACTGAGTTCTCAGCACCAAGTGTTTTGCTTTATAAATCAGCTCCTGTTGTGCTGTACTACTTGCTAATGTGCATCTGGGTAAGATACCTAATAAAAACAAAAGAGGTGTCAAAATTTGTTGTAGCTTGCTTAGTATCGACTTTGGCAGTACTCCAGGGTGGCTGTCAACATTCTGAATCACAGATACAAGATTTGCTAATACATTTATTTGGCCCCCTTTCTACTGAATCTGTACAAGTTGCAGTCTGTTTCACAAGGAAAATAATAATCTCATTTTACAGAGGTAGAGAAATTTACCCCAAAATGGTGAGCAAGGCATCTTTAGATGCCTTTAGACTTTACCAAACCCAGTAACAGATGTCCCATATCTAGTACTCTAGCTATAGGATGAATTATTTTTTTTATGGAAGCACTATTCTGCTGCTGTACATTTATGATGGTTCTCTTGTCAATTCGTTGTTCTGTGTGGGCAAAGATGAAGCTATCACTGGACCCACAGAAGTCTGAGGAAAATCCTTCTGCACCACAACTGACTTAATAGTTTTATCGATTTGTTAATATTTGTAATACCACATAAATTTTCTGAATACTATTTAGAACAAAACCACATTTTTTTGGTCTATGACCTGGAAAAAAAAAACCTTTATGTAATCATATAAAGAGCCTGTGAAATGTATGGTGACACATGACTTAGAGACAAATATGTTCAGGGTGGTCAGACAACATGTTCCAGTTTTATTACACATGAGGTTGATTCTGGAAATGAAGGCTTTTAAAACATATGAAGAAACATGATGATTATTGAGCTGCTGAAGAAAAGCAAAGGACACGATCAAATACATGTTTACCTGTATATATAGTAAAGTACTTCTTGCAGAGAACTGAAGATAAAGAATTAATATGAAATCATTCCTTAGAAATGATTAGTTACAATGTACTAAGGAAAAAAAAATCTAAACTGCTAGATTTGGTATAGCCAATGTCATATTTGTATCTGGTTTGATGTCAGTATTGCAACTAAACCAAACAGACTTGTGAGAGGGGATGGCTTACAGTAGGATGACCAGTTAAATTAATTATAACTTGAGTCCACCCAGGTACCTTCAGCATGCAGGTGTGGTTGAGCTGCTTTTGGAGCAGCTCCTCAACTGACACAGAAGACATAAGAAAACAAGGCAGTGTCAGAATACTGTGCTTGACTAATTTTTGTCAACTCAGTAGCTGCTTTATGCGAAGCTCAACTGTTCCTGCAAGGGGAGGAAGGTTTTTCTAAGACATGGGTCCAACTGCTGGGAAGAATAATAAAGCTGGCCTTCCCAGTGTCCATTGTCAGCGTTCCTGAGTGAGCACTCAGAGAGATACAAAACCACCCCTAATAAGATTATTTTGGTGTTTCTTATTAATTTCAATTTCTAGGAAGAGTTTTATGGAAAAGAACTGATTTTGGCTGACCGAGAAATGGTGGAACAAGAAGCAGATAGCATTTTAAAAGAAGCTGGTGTTTGTGATGTCGCATTTCTTGTAGTTGGTGATCCTTTTGGGTAAGACAAAACAATGTTTTAGTTATTGCTGTAGCTTGATCACTCTTCTTTTTTCAATAGGAAGGAGCCATGCTCCATAACTGTAATTCTTTATGAAGAAGCTGATTTTCAGACCAGAAGCACTTTTATGTCTTTGTGTATGTTTTATTGCATTAAAAATATACATGCAAATATCTACCCTTCATCTTGCTTGGGACTTTCTTAGCCCAGATATCCATTATAGATAGGAATGTGGGCCCTCCAGAATGTGTAAATCTTTCCTTCAGCAGTCACTTACCATTTCATTCTCCATGCTAGCTTTGATAGAGAATGTTTTGTTCAAGGTTTTATCTGCTAACAGAATAAATTCTGGCATATCACATAAATAAGAAACATGCTGTGTTTTGAGAGAGTATTCTTTTAGTTACTATTTGTACTCGTAAACTGCAACTTTCATGCTTGCTTGTTTTAGAATAAATACTGAATACTGATTGGTGGTTATACAGTGCTTCTGCTTTGATATGTGCTAGTTCTTAAAATCACTTAGGTTGTTATAAAGGTCTTCTCATTTTGGTTTATTAAGCCTTTTGTTTCCACTTTTTATTCCTGCTGAAAAGTATAGTCTTTTTCTATCACCAGAAGGATCTCATTCTGTCTTTTCAGTCAGGTATCATCAATCTGTAATGTCAAGCCATACAGAAGATCTTTTAGTCTCCAGCTGGTGGTTCAAGATTTATACCACAGTGTTAAGGGGCACAAGAAAAATCAAATCACTGAGCACCCTATTTGTGAGTCAAAAAATAGAGAGAGTTTATAAAAAAGAGGAGCAGTGTGCACATCTGTCAGAAGTGGATAATTTATGTAAATAGAGGTTGAAGGGAATCTGCAAGAGACTATTATATTAAACTAGTACTTATGGGCAGATGATGCTATATTTCAGAAATATTAGTTACACTTTCAGTGCATGTTAACATTAAAATTAGGATTCATGTAGAGTGTAGAGGCACATTACCTGTACCCTTGCTCTCTGATCCAGTGACTGATACAGGTACACAAGATGAAAAAAACCCCCCAAATATACTGAAATGTAATTGCTACTTGTAAGCAGTATTTTGATCTGAGTCAGTTATTAATTTCAGTGTCAAAATACTTAAATTTTGATTAACATACTATATCATTGTAGAAAACTACCCTTTTTTTGAATGAGTTGCTCCTCTCAAGCGTTTATGTTCTTAGCTCATAATATTGCAGCTAGAACTGCTTCTATGCCCACATATTGACCTAAGGATTTAGGTGTTGATGAGGTTACTAGGAAAGAGTTCTGAATGTTTCTGTCTTAAGAGAAGCCATATGGGAGGAGGAAAGAAGCCACGTGGCTGTAGCAGATCATAGAGTTTCAAGTACATTTGCAGGTGAGAAGAGTACTTGGCAGCCTTAGGAAATCTCAGGTGTTGGTGGTTAATGATT